AAAAAAAAAAAAAAAAAAAAAAAGATGGCTCGGCTGGGAGACACCCCTCACCTCCTTCAGGACCTGTGTACAGATGGGGGCATCTGAGCCGCGAAACACATGTCAGGCACCAGCCACTAACCTCCTAATAAAAAGAAATGCAGCCCTTCTTTTTTTTCAGCTCGGCATCCACGAGGCCCCCTCTCCCTCCCCGTTCATTCTGTTACTACTGAGTAACTGGGGGGCAGCCACACGCCCCGCACACAGGACCAGTTCCGGCCGCGTGCTACCCTGCGTCAACACACACTTTACAGGGCTGCTCCTGGCGTGGAATTTTCCCCGAGGGCACGAAAGCTCCTGAGTTACAGGAAACACTCAACATCTCTTTAACCAAAACCCCCGCTGAAGGGATTTTCTGTACTAGCCCAGGGAAAAGCAGTGGAAGTCCCACAAGACAGCGGCAACCTTTTAAATGTTTGCTGTTGCACAGGAAGTACCTGAGGCGCTCAAATTCCTGGAAGCAGTAAACAAAAGGGACATCTTGAGGGAAATAATTTATTGATTCCCCCCCCCCACCTCTTTCTCTTTTCCTTACTCCCTGTTTTTTCTTTTCTTCCTAGTCCCATGGAATAGGTTTAACCGATAGTTCTGAATTACTCCTAGAGAAACTAACTATGATTCCGGACCCTTCTCCTGACAATGACCGGACCACCTCAAAAAGATGTTCCAGAACATTCCCTGGCAAGGCCTGTTAGAGGGATTTCTTCAAACACTATCTCGTCCTGTCTTCTTATCTTACAGGATAAGAAATTTGACTTGGATTTCATAACACTTAAGGAAAAGAAGTTTTTTTTTTTAAGGTGTAAACATCTTTTAAGAAAACAGTAGAAAAAAAGTTAGAAACCCAGAATTTTCCAGTGCTTTGGTATAAACTAGAAAATACACGTCACAGGGCATGAATCCAGCTTCAGATTTATCCTGACTCCGTAATCCCCCAGGCCCTCCTTCCCCGGTGGGTGCCCACTCATTTCTGTCCCATCTCAGCTTCCTTCCAAGATACGTTGTCACGTGTCACAAACAGACCCTACACTTGAATGATCTTCTAGTCTTATTTTTCATTCCTCTTGTGACTCTGCATCTTTTTACAGCTCGGGCTTCGCCCTCCAATCCATGTGATCTTCAAGTCTTTAAAACAGATGTTTAAGAGACATCACACCATCACCTCGTCCGCTTAGGAACATCCTCCAGCTCCCCGACGGTACCCGGGAGAGAACGTGTCCTCCCACCTCTGGGTAAGGCCCCGCACCCCACGTGCCCTTCAGGAATTATCTTAATTCTTCTCCATCTTCACCATCCCATAATCTCCTCTCTCGAGGCCACCAGCCCCGACCAGCTGGGAGGGAAATCTGAGATCCCCTCAGCCGTTCTCTCTGGCGCCCCACGCAGCCTGTACGGCAGCAGGACAAGCGTGGCTTCACAGAAAGCGAAATGAGCTGATGGGACCTAAGGGTGGAACCTTCCAGAAGCCCACACTCACTCCACCTTCCTGCCACGGGGGCTCCTAGGGTGCTCTGGGAATTAGAGGTCTGGCTGATGACCACGAGGAGCCCTCAGGTGAGGACTGTCCCTAATTGACAACATTCCCGTCCTGCTCCTTTGGGACATGGCTTTGCTGAAGTCCAAACAGGTCTCACAAATGAATATGAGGGGACAGTGAACAGGCGCTCCAGCAGTGCTCCCAGGTGCTCGCTGGGTGCAAGCTCCCAGGTGTACCTTGCAGGTACATGGCCCTCAATCGACAGACGCGTATAAAACTAGAGGGAATAAAAGGGGGCCGGTTCCTCCACATCAGGGCTTCCCCAGAGCCTCTGTGGAGCCATCCCCAGGCCTCCCTGAGACACAGACCATCCACCATCCTGGTGGGAGGTGAAGATGTGCCTTCCTTCAGCTGGGGCGGGAGACACAGAGGCTGCACTTATCTCCAAGGTCAGGAGCAGGGAGAGGTATGCATCTGCCATCCCAGCAGGACCTCAGGAAAGCTGGCCACATGTGGAAATACCAGGAACAAAAGCAACCACGCAGTCGACACTGGTGTGCCCACGGATGCCCCCACTGCCTTACGGGATTTCCTCCCTTCAAGGCCTGGCAGCGTCAAGGTCAACAGCAGCCTGGAGGGAGTGATGCGGGGTTTGCACGGCCCTGTGCAGGGACCCCAGACTCGCCACCCCTACTACCCAAAACACTGCTGTGTAGGAAAGACAACAAACTGATCAAATTACTTTTCTGGCCTGGAATGAAAACCTACCTGCCCTTTATCCTGGTGAGTCCACCGCAGAAAGGCATTCTGCACCCTGAACACAGATCCCCTGAACCCAGGCGGCTGGTAAGGGGCTGCCCATACAGACCCTGCTCTGGCTCAGAAATGCCCTTGGTAGGCCTGCAGGAAGAGGCGCTTACTGGAAATTAATTGCCTCGATGTCGATTTCATGGCAGCTTGAAGCAAGGTCTGCTTTAGACGAGCTGCCCACTATAAGATATTACGTATTAAGAATTTTCAGGAGGCCAACTCAAATATGCCAATTCTGTACGTCCGAACAAGAACCAAGGGCTTTTCACTGGCGTGCCTTGTCTTCCAGTGACCACTAGAGGGTGCTTTGGGCATAAAAAAAACTCTCACGTCCCATGTTGGTTTAAATCCACCTCTGCTCCGAAGGTTTCAGGTGTGTGACCACTGGCCACGACACATATGCTATAAAAAAAAAAAGAAAAACAGAGGGGGGACTTCCCTGGTGGTGCAGTGGTTTAAGAATCTGCCTGCCGATGCAGGGGACACGGGTTCGAGCCCTGGGCCGGGAAGATCCCACATGCCGCGGAGCAACTAAGCCCATGCATCGTAACTACTGAGCCCGCGCTCTAGAGCCCACGAGACACAACTACTGAGCCCGTGCGCCTAGAGCCTGTGCTCCGCAACAAGAGAAGCCACCGCACCGCAACGAAGAGTAGCCCCCGCTCACTGCAACTAGAGAAAGCCCGCGCACAGCAACAAAGACCCGATGCAGCCAAAAAAAGGCAGGGCGTGGGGATTGGCAATGAAGTTCTCTCCATGAAAACCCAACCCTCACATTTTACATCTAGCACCCTGAGCAGATGACTTTAGTTTACTCCACACTTTTTTCTCCCAACACACATACCCACTCCACGATTCAGGCTTATCCTGCCAAGGCAGCGGATTACCCCGCCAGAGCTCTCAGTTATATTAGATCTGGTGCCACGCACACAGCTAATTGTTCTTGCTTGCTTGACACAGCTGGTTTCTTATTTGGAAAAGTCTTACATCAGGGCATGCAAGGGCAGACCAGATGTGCTCATTCTAAAAGAATTAACAAAAACAGAACCTGCACCAAAAAATGAAAGGAAAATCCAGTGTTTCTTGACATGATTATATTTTTTAAGCTCCCCATTTTTGTGACAAAGCAGTTTTAAAGTTAACCTTCATCTGACTTAAAAACACTCCGTACGACCCCTTAGTTAAGTCCCCAGTGGCAGGTACCAGGACATCAATGAATCTATGATCAAGGGTATAGTAAGTGATGTCACTTTACTAAAAGGCCAAGTTTTAAGTGACCTAGAAAAAAACACAAAAACTACACATGTGGTAAGATTCTATGCTTTCTAAGGGATCTGCTAAAAATGAGATACAGATCATAAGACATTAAGAAATAGAGCCGAATAAAACAAAACTCTGCATTATATCAGAAATCGGTATTAAAGGCGCAAAGGGTTAACATAAATAACCTTTTGGGGCGCTTATATATTATTTTGTAACAGAGAGAATTAAGATATCCTAATATAGAAATGAAAGCACTTGGGAGTGTAGGGGGGGTGTTTTGTTTTCAAGTTGCCAAGTGATTGCTCCGCTGAATCAAATCAGGAAGTGTGACAGTTTCAGTTTCATGGATGCTCACTGTCAAAAGGGAGCCTTCAGTAGGAAATTACTGCTTCTTTAAACCGTTTCCAAACCCCTCCACTCTGGAAACACAGGCCAGGAATCACTTACTGCTCAAGTGCTGGAGCCACAGACGCACAGCCTGCCCTCGGGCACCACTCACCCTGGGTTCCCACCAGGACCAGCGGAATCTCACTCGTGTTCCGGTAGTTGGCCATCCGGCTGTAGTAGTGGTAGACCGTCTGGAAACTTATCTCATCCTCCAAGCTGAAGACAAATATAACAGCGTCCACCCACATGGCAAACTGGGGAGAAAAGAAAGGCAGGTGAGCAGGAGATACTGAGTGAGGAGCTCACAAGAGAAAGGCAAGGAGCAGCATGGGGTCACCTTCATGAACACAGGACGAAAGGCCGGCAGACACCCCTCCAGCCGGGCCACGTCCGACGTCTGCTGTAGCGCATCACTGGGGCGTCACGAACGCCCTTCTCATCCTCGCCCAACACGCCTGTGATGGCCCTCAGCCCCTTCCTGCCCAGGCCACGCTGTCTCCAGAGAAAAACCAGACATTCTTCCCCAAGGGAGTGTCTACCCTCTGGCCCAACTCGGCCAATGGAAGGCAAACCCCGCGCACAGCAGAGCCGACCTGGAGACAGGCACAGAGGGCGGCCTTGCAGCTTCCTGTTTCACCCTACACTCCCCACAGAGGCCACCCAGGAAGCCGTGCTGGACCCCTGAGATGGGGCTCTTCCTCTGGGTGCCCAAGGCTCGGAAATCCTCCACCTCCAGGGCCACCTACTCTGTCAACACGAGAGGCCTTCGTATTGTAAAGATCAGCCGCCCCTGATTAATTCCAGCACCCTTCAAGGAAATTATGACTCACTGCCGGAGAAATTAACAAAAGCAATGAAGAAAATGAGCAAAACTTAGGGGAAAAAAATGAAAAAACCCCACAATGGCCCGACTCTGGTCATCTTATTCTAACTTTACTTGCATCTAGCTGAACTCACATCAGATCCTCTCTCGGGCAAATAACCACACCCTCAAGCACACGTTATCTTGTGGAACACCCATAACCATCTTGGCTCCATAAAGCTGGAGCCAAGAGAGGAGAGGGTCCTGGAAGCTCAGGAGCTTCCCAGGGCTCCCTGGGTCACAGAGGTAGCGCTGAGGAAGAGACTTAGCGCCAGAGACCCTTCTCTTTGATGAAAGACCCAAGTGAAAGTGGGAAAAAAAAAAAATAATGCCCCACATGCTTTCTCTAAAAGAACCTGCAGCTCCCACATAAGTCCTGCTGGTCAAGGCATCAGCTCTAATATGTTCGGTGAAATTTTTAGTGGGTTAAGCTCTGATTTCCACATGTAAATGAAAAGTGTATATTCAGTTACAAATGGAGATTTTACGCAACAAAACGTAAATAAATCTGAAGTTCAAATGATAAATATGAAATGAAATGAGAAAGAGAACTTGGGGCCAGTAGCCTGGGGACTGGCTGCTGCCTCCTGGCGCCCAGGACTCGGGCTGACACGGCACCTCCTTCTCCCCGTCTCTGCCTTGAGATGTGTTTTCCTTTCTCTTCCCGAGAATCGGGGCAGAAGTCAGCTTCCCCAGGCCCACGAGCACCTGATGAATGCTTGTGGTCCCTGGGACCAGCCCGCACCTCCCAAGACTGACAACCACCTGACCCTCCGTGCAGAGGAAATGCAAACCAGGCCACATCCTCTCAAGGGTGCATCCTGAGAGCCCCAGGGCCTGGTGAGCAGTGGGCACTCCATAGATGTCCCCCATCCACCCCAGCGGCTTCTCCACCAACTGCAAACCACCCCCCCCCCAAAAAAACCCAGTTAACTGGCAGAGTTTTCACACCACCTAATAGGACACCAGGAGCCACAAAATCCTGCAACTGCACTCATGAAGCCGTCATTACCTTCGTAGACTATATGACATGATCTGCAACAGTAGAAACGAACATCACGCTCGCATGGGCCCAGGAGTGGTGACTTGAAAAGTTCTCTTCCCTGAATGTCCGAGTACACTCGGCCTAGTTTTGAAAGGCTCCATTTGACATCCCCTCAAAGCAGAAATCTGCACTTTAACCAGGGTAAGCTTCTAGCCTAATGATACTCCTGCGGGAAGTATGCGCTAGAATAAGGGACTGGTCCTCAGGGAAACTCATGGCCAGAGGCCAAGACAGAGACCTCCTGGGGGCCCTAGTTCTACCCCCGGCGGGGCGGGGGTGTGGGCTGGCCACCTCGGCCTGTGCCCTGATGCCCTGAGATCTCAGGGCGTCAGCGTCCTTGGTGACGGGAACGCTCAGAGCATCGTCCCCCAGGGTCATCTCGAGGATTAAGTGAGCTGCACCGCTCAGGGAAGGTGGCGGGGCAGGGGGCTCACCCAGTGTTACCGATCCACAATACGTGTGCTTTTCAGACACGAGAAGTAGCTCACAGGCCTTAAGTTTTTTTTGTTTTATTCTTAAAAGCCAATTCTTTAATTAATCAGGGACTAAAAGGAAGGAAAATGTTTCTGCGTCGAATGACATGACATCACATGTCCTAAGCATCTGAGGCTACGGAAAAGATGTATTCCACAGGAATACACGCTTCCTAGACGAAAGATGCTTCTCAGAGGGTACATACCACTGGAGAGAAAAACCCCTGGGATTTTTAATGTCACCGTCTGGGGATGTGGGGAACACTGGGCCTGAGCTTTGTAATAAGAGAACCATCCCCCCCCCCAAATACTTTCATTAAAAAGGCAACCCCAACAGCAATCATGGCTGATGAAACCTTCGGGGTGGGGCAGTGCTCTGAGCCCCTAATTCCTCGGGCTGGAGCTCCCTCTCCAGTGTGGGCCTGGGGCTCCTTGGGAGACTGGTCGCAGTGCGGTTCAACTCTGGCCCAGGGGAGCCTGCTCACTGCTCCACGACTGGCACCAGGGGAAGCGCCATGTCTCTGCAGCCCTGGGCCCCCCAGCATCCCATCCCCAGCAGCATCCCAGGACAGCAGCGCCTCTGAAGCCACTACACCAGCTCCAACGTGCGCTTTTGTGCTTCTCTCAACTTTCTTCTTAGATTCTTTATGTCAGAGCTAAGGTGTGCTCTTTAGATGTGAGATTGCCCCTGATCACTCCAAAACATTTACGAGCTCGAAAAGCGGAAAATCACCCCAGGTGACGCCCACACTTTACCTACTTCGTTCCCCTATTAGCACCTGCCTCGGAGGGAACGCTTGTGGTAGCAGGACAGACGTCCCACGGGCAAAGGACAACTTAGAAAAAGTGATTTGGACCTTCTAGGACGGTGTCAGACATCACACCCTGTCCTGCTTAAGTATAAAGTAACAAACGTGCGCCGAACCCGAGCTCTCACAGCTCCGTAACCTACTTTTTTTCATGTTTAACACGTCTTCAGCGTTTCCTTACTCTCATCGACTATGCTGTTTCAGCAAAGCTAAAACAAATCTTTTCCACACTTTAACTAACGTCTTTGCTATCAGAACATACCTTATGGACTGCTTTGTTTCACAGTTTGGCAGCATTTTTCTTTTAAATACTGGTATAGCTTATAATCAGTGGCATTTTAGACTCACTAAAACATGGTAAATCCACGCCATTTTTCTGTAGAGCTGCATACACCTCAGTGTATAGAGTTCTAGAACTTTAACAACCCCCATATTCAACATCGTTCACTTAAATCACCAATAATCCTATGTCGCACTTTCACCAAAGAGTAAGTTCAAGAAAGAACGCCAGAGAAAATTTTTAATATTAAGTTCGCATTAATGGGTCTTGACTATTACTAGCCCTTGGTCCCTTCAAAGTGTTCAGCTAGTAAATTACATAAGCACAGTAATAAACTGGAGAGTAAGTAAACCAAAGAAAAATGTTTTCCACACTCATGCTGTTTATTTTTCCTCCACAACACCCATTTTGCAAGGAAGTTTCAAAGAAATCACACTGTGCTGCATCCTGGTTTGCGGCGGAGAATGATCCGGGCTGAGAAGCCTGGTGGGCAGCCTGGCAGTAGTGCTCAGATTTCCAAATCCCATCCAACTTTCTAAATGACTGCACTGCTCTAGAGATCAAACACTTACAGGATAAAACGAGAAAAAAAGGGCTATAGACACTTCCAGATGTCAATTCAGCTGAGTTGACAAATCAGCGCAGGTTCTGCTCTTCCTTCCTTCTTAAAAAACTGCAAAGTGAGGCTTCCCTGGTGGCGCAGTGGTTGAGAGTCCGCCTGCCGATGCAGGGGACGCGGGTTCGTGCCCCGGTCCGGGAAGATCTCACGTGCCGCGGAGCAGCTGGGCCCGTGAGCCATGGCCGCTGAGCCTGCGCTCTGCAACGGGAGAGGCCGCAGCAGTGAGAGCCCCGTGTACCGCAAGAAAAAAAAAAAAAAAGCAAAGTGAAAATCAGCCACACGGCCCAAACTTCCCTCTAGGTTTCTGTCTGAAGGAACAACAGAATTAGTCTCTCAGGGATGAGAAAAACCTCAGTCACAGAAAGCATTTTCCTGGGGCCTCTCTCTCACCTTTTCTTGTATGCACCTGACCGACTTCTTGAAAGCACCTGTGGAGTCAGACCCTTACCAAGGAGGCACAGGTGAAAGCTGGTCACCAGTGTGCGCGCAGTACTCACCTGTGCCTCTGGAGGGCCCCCTTCATCTCTGATCAGCAGCAGATAGCTCTGTCCGTCAACAACAATCTCTTTCTTGAATCTGCCACCTGCCATACACACACAAAAAATCTTGTTACGCGCGAAAGACAGAGCGAGGGGAGGGCAAACAGACGTGGGCTTCGCTTGTGGAAAAATACACCCTAGACTGTGGCCCTGGGGGCAGCCCTGAGTGTTTAGTAGGAGTGGGCTGCGGCTCTGCCTCCAGGGACCCCTGGACTTAAAAGAACTACTGAACTCAGATTCAAATATTCATCCTTAAGAACCCGTGTTCCTTTCTAGTTAGAATACACAGCCTCCATGCAATGCCAGGATCACTCGTGGCTCAGAAGCGTGGGATTTTAATGCAGGCTTTGTGTGTAAATTCAGGAATTCTCTCTCCCTGGGAACACGCTGATACCGAGTCCAGAAACAGAGAGTACGGAAATTGTTCTCTCGTTGGGTTCACAAAACCGAAACGAATTGTATCTGCTGATCAGGGGCCTGGTCTCCAGCACGTTGACAAATTCAAGGGCTGAGAATCTGTATTCTCCTCAAGAGAAACCCAGTTCTTGGAAGGAAAACATAGAACAGCATGGGGATGGTGTTTCCGTGTTCACAGTTCACAGGTAAGGGAAGGGTGCTCGACTACTACACACGGGTTAGACACAAACTACTGGATGGCAGCTCCGCACAGGTGGAGACACAGCAGTGCAGCTGGCGAACGGAGAGCGTTAGAGCCCACGCTGGGTTAGGGAGAGACCACCAGGGGCCCCGCCGGAACGCTGGAGGTACGGGGGTGGCCACGTGAAGGCGGCAGGGGCTGACCCCTCCCACGCCCAGGTGTCTCAAGCATCTCCCCTCAGCGCCCCGGATCGGACTGCCAGGCCTCCCCTGGGCAGCGGGAAATAATTCCACTTCTGGGTCCCTCTGCCACGCCCTCTGCCACCTCCAGAGACAAATGACCTTGCCACGCTCTGGGCTCTGAGCCTGCCGCAGTCACCCCTCACTGGGCTTCGGAACTCGTGGTCTCGAGAGGAACACGCCAGCACCGGCGCTCAGTTCAGCTCCTCGGCACAGAGGCCTTCCAGAATCACCAGCTAACCCCGAATAACTGGAAGCCCGCGAACCTCGCTGGTGGAGCTTCCCCACCGGCCCCAGAGGCTGGGTGTCGGCCCCCTGCCCCCCGGAGTCACACCTGGCTCTCCGCCACAGTGGCCCCTCGATGACGCGGACCTTCCCTCCGAGTCCTGGCTTTGCGCCATCCCAGCGCCCGAGAAGCAGAAACTAGACTCCCCGTCCCAAACCACCCCACCTCACCGCACCCCTAAGAAGTGTGTGCAGGTGGGCTTCTGCCACGTGAGGCTGGGGCGGCCCGCGGGGAGGTCGCCTCTGCAAGCGAGCACGCGTGCGCACACGGCCGCTCGCGTCCCGTATCTCCACCCCCCCGCCCACTCCGCCCCGGGCACCCCGTCACAGGCAAGATGCACGTGCTTAAAGAGCAAAACTTCAAAAACAGAAGAAAATTTTCCAACTCTAAAACGGAGGAGCTCTCATTTTGATCCCCCTCACCGCCGACACCGAAAAAGGAGGGCAGAGTCCGTGGAGGACGGACGGAAGGAAACACATCTGACGGCTGGGGGGGCGGGGGTCAGAGCGCATGCGCGCTGGACCAGATGGGCTGAGGCCCGCTCTGCACCTGCGCATCTGGCTGTAGGAGGATCCACAGTGATTCACGGTCCCTGTGCCCCGCAGCTCCCCAAACGAGCCCTGACCCCCAGCATCTGAGCGCACGGAGGCCAGCCCTGGTCTGATGAACTCAGGTTCGACCCCCATGAGCCTTCACAGCTGCCCTGGGCACGCTGGTCTCACACGGCCAATTCCTCACTACAGAGCAGGAGGGGGGAGCACCCGCAGTACCAGCACCCCTCCGCTGCCAGCCGCCTCCCCCCACCTCCCTGGGGAGCAGGCACCCGGTGGGCGTCACCACCCAGCTCTCCCGGAATGACCCCTCCCGCTGATGGCCCTGCTCCTCCCCTGGGTCTCTATGCCCTCGTGTGTCTTACAGGGTAAGCGCTTGTTGGGTGAATTTCGCATCTATTCGTTCATTCACTTTCTTTAACATATTTTTGTAGAGTCACGATCCCAAGTTATGTGTCCAGATAGCTGAATCACAATACTAAAGTTAAGAAAGGTTTGCACAGAGTTCTTTCTGCTCCTCTGCTTTGTAACCTCAAGCAGAGGCCTCTGGATCTAATTTTCATCAGCTCTAAAAGGAGGGGTGATTCTCTCCTCCATCCTTAAGGCCCCTTCCAATTCTAAAATCACTTTTCATTTCCCCCCTAAGATATGTAATTAGTTATGTCTCTTCATTATTTTACAATTGCAAATATTAGACACTTGCAATGGACTTCTGTGTTTTCTCTGGTGTTATACATACATCAGGAAACAAAAATGAAACACTCAAATGCATTTGCCATGAACCCAAAGGTTTGATTAGATAAAATTCAGCCAGGTGTTTAAGCACCCAGATTGTGAAAAAGTAAGACTATGATTAATAAAGTTATATATAAAAAATAAACTCCTACTGCTGATGGACTGTCAGCAGGCTCAACGGGAACATCGACAACTGGGTACTGGAGAAACACAGCCCAGCAGGTAAATAAAATTAGACTCTAAAATCCGTTTTCTACAGTTCACTTTAGAGACACAAAGGGAAAAAACCTTGGGATGAAGGTGGGGGTGGTACCAAGCTGGTCTACACTCCCAAGGGGCCACCTCTCTCATTATCTGAAATTCAAACCCGCCATCCATCCCATCCATTAGATC